TCGTGGCTGCTGCTCCTGCTGTTCGAAACCCCGAGTGTGTTCTGAAGCCAGAACTGAGCAGGACCAGCTCCTGTTCCTACTGACCTGCGTCTCCCGGCAAAGCGCTTTCCTAGTGAGATCTGAGTGGAACGTGGACAGCCGGCATCGAAGTTCAGTAGACGGGACCCAGCCGCAGGCCTCCGCCTGAGCAGAGCAGGAGCAGAGGAGGGCAGAAGGCTGGTGCAGGGGCTGAGTTCCCCTGGAGGGAACCCCTGAGAAAACAGCAAGGCCAGGAGCCAAAGCCAGCTGCAGATTCGGTGAGAAGACAGCGTGGGGTAGAAAGGCTCCGACCCGTTCTAGAAAGTGATGAAGCTTGGATTAGCGTTTCATCAACAGCCTGAAATAAACTGTTCATTTTGAGGTGGTAATACTTTCATTACTTATTAATTACTACTAATTCTTAGGGTTGGCTCCAGTCATGAGACCTAAAAATAAAAAGAAAAGAAAATAGTTAAAAGAGAAAGAAGGGGCAAAAAGACAGAATTGTACAATACATGGTTGGTTTAGTAGATACATGGTCCACAGGAATCAAAATGTTTCCTAATTTCCCTTTGTCATCCCTAGGGTAGGTCCTTGTTCTCATGGTCCAAATGGCTGCTGGTGTTCCGCCCGTTACATGCACATTCCAACGGCATGACAGGTCACAGGGGGAGGAAAAGGACATATTCCTTCCCTTTCAGAGAGACGATTTAGAAGTCTCATTCAACACGTGATTCTGGGGAAATCTTGGTCACACGGTGGTAAGGGAGAGCAGGAGAGGTTGCAGTGATGTGCCCAGACAAAAATGAGGGTTCCAGGCACCCGAGACCACCATGTTAATGAATCAGACACAGCTTCAGTATCACACCGATTCTCTCACAGGAGGAACCCAAAGCCTAAATAAATTAAAGGGCAAAATGAAAGCCAGGCCACGGGGAACGGGGATGGCTGTCTGGTAGACGGGAAGGGGCGTGAGAACAGAGGAGAGGAGCGTGCGTGCAGCGGCGCCCACGGCGGGCGCGATCCTCAGGCCCTGCGTGCGGCGCGCGCTGCTAAGCAGAAGTGGGGGGGGGGTGAGAAGGGAGCCACCCCCGGGAGGGAACACTCAGGGCACGAGAACTGCTGCGGGAGAGAAGGCCAGAGCAGGGCCCGGCGCCCGGCTGCTCTGGGCCGAGGCGGTGCTGCCACAGAGCCCCTGTCCGGAGGCGGCCTGGGCCACCCGCACCACCTGCCTGGTCACGGAGACGTGGGCACAGGGGCTAGGGGGAGGATGGCCGTGCTGGCCGTGAGATGACCGTCACGGGAACGCTGGCCCTCGCTGGGCACACGTGGAGGCCTCTTCCAGACCCCGGCAGGCAAAGCGGCACTGGGTGTCCGCAGCTGGCTCAGGCCCTGGTGCCCCACAGGCAGTGGGACTGTGGGCGCCACCTTGACCACAGCTCCTCTTTTGCCCAGTGCCACGAGGAGTGGCATGCTGCCTCCAGGGACTGCTCTGGGTCCAGCCGCTGACCAGTCAGCCTGCTGGGCCTTGTGGGCAGGGAGGAGGTCAGTTCAGCTCCAACCTCGGGAGAACGCAGTTCTGCAGCCCACGAACTTGACTGGAAACACAGGAGATGGACAGAGGAGAAGGTCAGAGGCGGCTCGCGGGCAGGGAGCTGCGTGTAGGGGCGTGGCTTCAGGGTCTGAGCAGAGCTAGCCCCTGTTGATTCTTGTTTTCTTTAACAGAAGAAAGTAAAGCCAGCCTGTCTCCTGTGTCTCGGTCCGAACCACCCACTTCCCTCCCAGTCACATCCCACAGACACAGGCTTCTTGGGCATCCTCTCTCGGCTTTGCAGAAATGTAAAGTACTGTTTGTAACAGCAAATAACCATATTTTTATTTTTACTTTTTTCTCCACCTATACACACAAATGAGCACATACAAGAGCATGTTCTGACCTGTTGAAATTCTTATTTCAAAGCCTAAACATGTGAAAATCCAGATTCTGCGTTTTCTTCCATGAGTACATGGATTAATCCTCTCTGGTGAATATACAGTGGACCCTCAGGTTACGACCAGCCTGACAGACGAACAATTTGGGTTATGACAAGACTTTTAGTTTCAACTTACGCGCAAAGTTCTGAGTTGTGACCCAAATGCCGGCCACTCGTGCTTCCAGATGGTCTCAGATACAGATCTAACCCTTAGAGAGCTCTGGAAGGAACATTACAGCATCCTCTCCTGTGTGGGGCTAACTTAGGAATCCTGGGCTGATGTCTCTCCAAGGACACTGAGATCTGCCTGTGTGCAGGAGAGAGACTTTGCAGGCTGTGTAGAGGAGCCTGAGCCTTCACTGACCAACTTGAGTTGAAACCGGCCCTCAGGAAAGAATTGAATTTGTGAGTCAAGGGTCCACTATACTTTAGCCAATTCTCTGTTGCTTAGTTTTTGACTTTTTAATAAAAATAACAAAAAACAAGTAAGATGCACAAGGTACCCGAGGGTCAGATTTCTAAGACGAAAATGTCTGTTGGGAGTTGAAGGCTTTGATTGTGGCACTGAGCCGCTGTTCACAGCTGTGCAGAATTCATACAGACCCAGCCATCACCTGGCACGGGAATCAGCACATGCCAGCCCTGTATTGGCATTTCTCTGAGGGCCCCCTGAAGTCTCCCTCTCTGTGACTCTGAACATGGGGTGTTGAGTTGCAAATCTTTTTAAGATTAATTTGGAAAAGCTCTTTCTACCTGGAGGAAATCAACTCTTCCTGTAACACAACTTGCAAGTACTGTTCCCAACTGGTCCTTTATGTTTTCATTTTGTTTGTGGGTGGGGTAGCTTCATTCAGAAAGTTATGTATTCGTGAAATCAAGTTGATTCATCTTGTACCAGGATTTGTCATGTTAAAAGACAAAATTGTGGCAAATCTAGGTTTGCAGTTCTTAATTGGCTTTGTTTTCGATTCTAGAATTGACGGCAGTCTGAACCAAGAGTGGTTCTGAATACTCTCCACTAAAGTGTGGGTTCAATGTATAGCCGGAGAACAGGAAGTGAGGTAGAGCAACCAGAAGTCGCTTGCGGGCACAGTGACTGGCTGCAGCTTGCACCCGTCTTGTTTGGTCACGGTTTGACCAGGTGGCTGCTCCTACTTGGTTGAGATGGGGAGGGTCAGTTTACGCATCAAGCTAGGTTGCGGGTCACAATGTACTCAGAAACCTTTCAGCCAAACTTAAGATACGCACAGAGAAAATTTTAGCCCAAACAAATCAATTTAACTTTCAGTTACATTTCTGGTGCCAAGGATTGAACCTAGGGCTTTCTAATGAGCCTTTTAAGTATTTTTCATTTTGAAACAGGGTCTTGTGAACTTACTAAATTGTCGGACTGATTTGAACTTGTGATCCTCCTGCCTCTGCCTCCCTGAGTGCTGGGATTTTTGGAGTACATCACCCAGCTGATGAATTTTTAAAAATAATATTTTATGGCTTATCGTATTTGTTTTCTAATTTTATTTATTTGGACTAAAATGTTTTACCTTCTTAGGGTGTAACCTGCTGAAGGGTGGGACAGCTGCTTCCTGGCTGTGTCCATAGTATTTGTTAAATGTCCATCTTTCTTTCACTCATGACACCAGTATCATTTTCTAAGCTCCTATACGCATTTGGGTCTATTTCTAGGCTTCCAAAACGGTTATCCTCCTCTCTGTACACACACCAGTGCTGCAGTCTGCGGCCACTCTACTGTGTTAGTCAGCTGACACACATGGCCTAAAGGGGAGGTAGGGGCTTATTTTGGCTCACGATTTCAGAGACTTCAGTCCATGGTTGGCTGCAGGACAGAAACAGCACAGCAGGGGAAAACCACTCACCTCATGGCACCCGGGAAGCAAAGAGAGGGGAAGAGACAGCGGGGAAGGGAGGGGCAGACACTGACTGCTGGCTTCCTCTCCAGGCTGGGGCCGTCGTCCTGATGGCCCACTCAGCTCCATCTCACCACTGGATCGATCCTCGGTGAGGTCCGTGCCTGGTGGCCAACCACAGGCCCCACCCACGTCTGAATGTCGCTGCACTGGGGATCGAACCCCCAGTGTGTGAGCTTTGGGGAACACCTGACCCGACTGTAGTGACACCTTCAGGAGATGCTCGGCTGCCTATTGGGACTGATCGGCTCACTGACTGCACTACTCTAGTTGGTTCTGTGTGTCGGTTTTCCCACTTGAGTCAGCTTATCTTGACCCCTGAAGGAAAGAATCATTGAGTGTTTTTTCTGGAGTCACATCAAATCCACAGATTAACAAAGAGAGTGTGTGTGTCTGTAATTTAGGTGTCATGCTGTTGAAATGCCCTTTGCTCCTCATTTATTCCAGCTGGTGTGGTGCCCCAGGGGCGGTGACAGTTTCTTGTGCATTGGCCCCATGCGTTGGCGTGGTTCTTCTGGCTGTGGAACATTCTGCTTCTAAAGTCAGTGAGTGCTGTTGTGGCTGAGAGGCACCGGTGCCTGAGGCCCTAAGGACTGTGGCAGTCTGCCACCTTCCCTGTTGAGCTGTCCACGGATTGCAGGGCCTCGGCTCGCCCACCTGATGTGTGGTCCCCTCGCTGTGGCTGTAGGCCCTGTGCTCCTGCCCGGCTCAGTGAGGTCCACACATGCCTTGCGGTCCTGCACTCATGGCCGTGGCAGCCCTGCCCAAAGAGATAGGTTCCTACTTCACAGTGTGGCCTCTTCTCCACAGGAGCAAGGTGCTGTCGGCTTGAGTTCTTTGTAAAGAAGAAATGCATGCGTTTCCCCGTGATCCCCCTGTTAGGCTGAGGCAGGAGGATCACAAGTTCAAGGCCTGCCTGGACAGCTTAGCGACTTTTCAAGACCCTCTCTTAAAATTCACAAAAAAATAAATACAAAGGGCTGGAGATGTAACTCAGTGCAAAGGCTCTGGGTTTAATCCTTTGTCTTGCAAGAAAAAAAACTCCACATCCTGACTCTCACCAGCCCTTCGCTCTCCTCCACAGGCCTGCAGTCGGCTCTGCGCGGTGGATGTGGGAACCCAGCCACGGCAGCCGCCCCCTGTGCTGCACGGCGGTCAGAGCACACAGACCCCAGCGCCAGCCGTCAGCCCTGTGTCTCCAGGAACTGAACATGTGTCCTCCACGTCCCCTTTGCTCCCTCAGCACCCTGACAACATGCGGGGCCCGACTCCTGAGCTCCCATCTGCCTAGAGGCACCGTGTGCCTGCAACCCTGGGGCTCCGGACCCCGCTCTGCCTCCACAGGGCCGAGGTTGGTGTCCGTCAGTGGGCTCTGCACCTTGAAGATGCTGAGCCCTCTGCATTGCACAGTGGAGACTGCCAGATCCCCCAAGGGCTGCACAGGAGAGAGCAAAGCCAGGCCCAGGGCTCAGCAGGCAGAAGGAAGCCTCAGGCAGGCAGGGTGGTGGCAGGTGTGCGAGGACCTGGGCTGGTGGAGGAGCCACAGGGCACCCCCGGGCACGGCTCATCCTGAGGCATGTGGCAGAGCGATGCCTGGGTAGAGGGCCGGGGAAGGAGCCACAGTGTCCCATCGTCCCCGGCCTGCAGCATATGACTGTCCAGTTTACTGCTGTGAGTCTGGCCTCCTTCAGGACAAAATGCCAGACCTGAAATCTCTTGGATGCAGCCCCTTTGGAGCAGTGCTGGTGTCCACAGGCCCCTGACCTTCTTCCTGAAGAGCGAGGCCTGGACTCAGCACAGGGGCCGCAGGTGGGAGAAGCCTTCCCAGAGGCCGTGGGGGCTGAGAAGTTCCCAGGAGGGCCAGGCCTTGCACTGTCCCAGTGGCCACCTGGAGACAGCAAAGCCGCCTGGGGTGCATCCCACCAAGGAGGCTGCCAGGGAGACAGCAGCCACTGAGGACACCTGATGTCTCCGACCTGGGTGCTCACAGATGGGGCTAAAAACACACTGAGTTGTAACGAACCACAAAACACGCATTCAGGGTCTGTTCACACAAAGCAGCGGGATAGCTGTCCGGAGCAACATCAGGGAAACACATGGCCCATCCCTCAGGATTCCAAGGTGATGGCACAGTATGAGATAGCAGGGTGCCAGGGACAGCGACATCTTTGCCCTGGCAGGTGCCACCCCGAGCATCAGGCCTGGAACGGGCACAGGTCAGACTGCGCCCTTCCCAGCCTCGGTGACCAGGCCCAGCAGAACCTCCTGGCTTCCTGACCACCTCCCAGCCTGTACCTGTTCCGGATCAGCACCCGGTGAAGCTCCATGTGGATTACAAATGGCGAAGGTCAGAGCAGGACAGACGATCCAGTTTCAGAACTTCTCTCTGCATGAGGACTACCGGCCAGGCGTGGGCTGCCAGGTCCCGGGCAGGTAAGGCAGCACTTTCTTCTTCGGCTGGGGCAGTGGCTGGTGGGGCAGGACGCAGCGTGGCTTCCGCCCAGCAACCCCAAGTCCGCACTGGGGCTTTGCCTTGGGAGTCACAGGAGGCCCCGGCCCTTTCCTGACTGCTCAGAGCGGACAGAGGCCGAGGACGTGTTCAGGGTTGCGCCGCTCTAATCCAGAGGTGGGGTGTGCAGGTGCGGGAGGGAGGTGGGAGACTGGGAGACGAGTCGTAATGACACTGCAGGTGGGTCCTTGGGCCTGGTGGCAGTGGGCACTGGAAGCCAGACTGAGAGCGGGGAGCACAGGCCGTGACGTTAATCAGTCGAGAGTGGGCGGGGCTCCCGCTGGGGAGGAGTCCAGGGCGGCTCCGATGGGAGTGTCTGCTGCAGGGTAGCAGAGGAGAGGGGCGGCTTTGACTGGGTCTTGGGGTGGACGGGGTCCAGTGATGGTTGTCTCAGTGCCGCTTCTGTGACAGGAGCAGGAGCTTGAAGTGCAGGTGGTGGGACAGATCCGAGATGCAGGGCAGATGCCTAGCCTTCTCCTGCCTCTCGAGTCGGTGTTCTTTTTAGCAAAATTGGCTCTGAAGTCCTCAACTGCCTCAAAAGAATCGCCAGTATGAAGGAAAAAAGGGTCATTAAAAATGCTGTGTTGGGGCTGGGGATTTAGCTCAGTGGTTTCGCCGCCTGCTGTGCAAGCGCAAGGACCCGAGTTCGATCCCCGGTACCTAAAAAAAAAAAATGCTGTGAGTTGCATGCAATTAGTTTAAGAAATTTTTCCGATAGCGAGTGAGAAGCTGGGCTCGGCCTGCTTCTCTGTGCCTGAGGAGGAGGACAGCGTGCACAGGAGGGTGTGGAGCCCACTCGCACGCCATCTGCCAGGGGACTGAGGGGAGAAGGTGGTCGGCTGGGGGAGATGAGCCCTGGCCCCGGGGTCCCAGCCCGGGCTCACCTCGGGCCCCAGTGTGGGTCAGGGCGAGAGGCCCCCGTGCAGCTTCGGACATCGGGGCAGTGGGGGCGCCGGGGACAGGGAGCCCTCCCTGGGGCGACACCTGGACCCCAAGGGTGAAGGCCAGAGGTGGCGGCTGGCTGCTGCGTTTCCCCCGCAGCTGATGGACAAGTCTGAAAGTACAAAGTGCAGTGAGATAGCAAGGGCCAGTCATGTCACACTGTGCAGAGGCCCTGGGCTCACCCCTGTACGACAAAGCATGAAACAAATTCGGGGTGAAAGTGGTGGCCAGTGCTTGCCAGCTGCAGTCCCAGACGTGTGCCCCCGCTGGCGGCCGCGGGCCGAAGAGGGGGGCGGAGCTCTCGGTGATCCTGATTCCCTTGCGGGGATTTTCCTCCCAGTTGGCATGAAAGCGCAGTCCCACTCAGCAAGCGGGTCCGAGGGCGGCAGGGCTCGGTCTCGGTAAAGCCAGGGTCTTCTGCTGGCCGTCATGGGTGCCATGCAGGTATGAACAGCCAGCGCCGCGCCCGAAGGCACCGCGAGCTCGGATCCTGGACCCTGTCCGTCTGCCCGCTGCTCCCTTTGCTGTTTACCTTGGTGACCAGTTTGAGTCGGCGGCGTCATCACCACTGCTCTGTGGCCTGCGCGCCCGGACTCCCCCTCGTCACCTGGTGTGAGTTCTCTGCCACAGGGGTCACGTGCCTTTGCCTCCCGGGGCTGGGGGGAGGCACTGGGGGGAGGGGGAGGTGCTCGCAGCGCCTGTTGCTCCTGTCGGTCCGTGGTCCGTCCGGTCCGTCCGGGAAGGCCTGCCCCCTGCGTCCTGGCTCCCACCCTGGCCAGGACCGGCGCGGCCCCCCAGGGTGGCTCAGCCCTGCTGTGGCCTCGCCTGACCCTGCGCCCCCTGCGCCGGCCCAGCTCCGGGCTCTGTGGCTACCACTCTGGAGAACGATGGGGTTTCCCAGTGAGGGCGGGCCTGCTGTCGGCCTTGTGAACCCGGGCGTGAACTTGGGGGTGTTCTCCAGCCCGCTGCCTCCTCTGGGCTCCTCGCTCCCTCTCCCCCTGGACCGATCTGCTCAGCAGCCTGTGAGTGCACGCCCGATTTTGGTCACTGTGTTTTCTTTTCAGAACTCCTGCCTGGTTGATTTCCATCTCCAGGGCGCTGACTCTGTGCTCCTAGCTCCGCATCTCTTACTGCTTAGGTCAGGCGTGGGCTGTGTTTCCCTCTCATCATCTCGGCGTCTCCCGTCCCCTACTGCCTCGCCTCTCCCGGCTGGTCCTGTTCAGAGCCCTGGTCTGATCTCTGCCTTTAAAGAACGAGCCCTGTGAGCCAGAGTCCTGATGCCAGGCCGGTCCTCTCCGCGTTTCCTAACAGTGCCCCGCCGCCTCCACCCTTGCCCCTCACGCTTCCGCTTGAGGGGGAGACAGTGTATGACTGTCCTGAACAGATGCTGTCCTTCCCGGAAGGGTGCCCACTGACAGTGGGCCGTGGATGGTGGAGGACTGTACTTGCCAGGCACCTGCGGCCCATGACACAGTTGGTCGGGGCTGTGCCACGGTTTTGTGCAGACTCGGGCTCTGGAGCGGGGTCTCCTCAGGCTTCTGCCCTCTCTGGTTCCCACCCATGGGGTTTCCAGCCGTCCCCCTGCACAGTGGTTTCCCGGCAAGGCCTGCTGCTCCTCCCATGGAAAGGGTTCGGGGTCCCTCAGTCCTGCACACAGGAGCGCCTCCCCCGCCCCGAAGCTGAGCCAGTTTGTGGGCCCAGCTCCCTGCAGATCCTAGAAGCCACTGCTGGTCTGTCCCAGGGGCACTGCCCTCCCCAGGTTCCAGCCCCGCCAGCTGCCCTGTGGTCCGTGCTCTCTGAAGGGTCTGAGGGAGGTCAGACTTGTGGGCCCCCAGCATCCAGCAAGCGCCGCTGCTTTCTACACTGATGCTGACGCGGCTCTGGCTGCTTCCCTCTGGCCGCATTGGTTTACTTTTCCCCGTCCTGTGCTGCCCGAACCTCAGAGACAGCAGCACTGCTCCACCTCTGTGGTGTCCACACAGCTGGGTCAGGTGAAGGGGCTCTGTGGCCACATTCTTTCTGCGAACTCAATGTTCATATTTTAGCCACTTCACAATTGATGTGTCTTGTAGGCCTGTTGAATGTTGTAGGCATCACAGTAGACGTTTTATTTAAATAAGGGGACCTGCTGTTGTCCTTTAGCTGATACTGACACAAGGCCATCTGGTGCCCAGGACCTCTGTGTGTCCACCATCAGTGATGTGCTTGAGCATTGGTTTGGTGTGGTCAGTCTTTATGAGAAGAGCATTCCTTTTCCTAATTGCCTAAACACATCTTTCCACCAGGAAGCATTTTATGTCCCTCAAATAAATGCACCTGAAATGAAGGTTAGGCCTGCCTCTGATTTGTGAATTAGTTTCAGGAGAGTAACTTACACTACTGGTGCTTGATCCTTACAGATGGATTCTTTGTTTAGCACCATTCCTTGCAGGCCATGGCATCCTCCTTCCTGAGTTGCTACCTCCATTCTTCTTTTGGTGCTAATCTATGTATTTGTGCAGTTTTTCAGGAATGATATTGTAGGGGACAGGGGAAGGGGACGTTACCAGAACCTCTGCAGTGAGTCCTGGTCTCCTGCGAGCCAAGGCAGCACACGGCGAATGACAGGAAAGGTAGAAAAATGAGACCGAGAAGAAGCTGAGCTTTGGGTCTGATCAGTGCTGCTCTGGGCAGCAAAGACAAAAGCCCCCAGCTTACCGCACCTTTTATTCAGTACATCGGGAGAAACAAATGTAACAGATGACTTGCAGAGAGTTCAGTAGTTCACATTGGGATAAACAAGGTGTAACGGAAGGCTTGCAGAGAGTTCAGTACATCTCCGGCAAACAAGATGTTAATCAGTCCAAGAACAATGAGGAACTGAGCAGATGTTTGTTCTCCCAGGATGTTTCTTGTCCTGGAGAATCACAGCATCACTGGATCACTGAAGTCTCAGTTGTGACTGGAGGCCAAACTGGAGTTATTCTGTAGCTGGGCTGTAGGCAAGAGAACTAGGCTAACCAAATGATTTTTCCCTAGAATTATGTAGCATTGCTCCCAACATGATATGTGGCGGTTTCCTAAAATCTCACTACATAAAAATGTCTTTCTGTTCCCTTTATCCACAAACAATAACTTAGCAAGATGACAGATTTGTGGCCTCCAACTTCTAATCTCAGCGTCCTGTAGTTGTTTCTTATTATGTCCTCACATCAAAACCAACCTGATGTGTCTCCCTTTGAATATTTTATAAGCATCTACTTGGTTGCATGTCGGAATTTTTTATTCTTAGAAGTCAAATATTTAACTGCAATATGTCTGGTCGTGTGTCTTCCTTTGTTACTTATTGGCGGATCTTTCAAACTACAGACTCGGGTCATCGCTTGGCAGTGCTTCTGCAGATCACAGCTCTGACAGTCCCCACTCTGATCCTGGGAATCCAGCCACCTGTGTGTCCCCTTGCCCTGTATCCCGGCACCATCACCCTCTTGTTACACAAGTTCTGCTCCCCGCCCTTTCTCGCGCTGTCCCCCTGCCCAGCACTGATCCGACATCCTGCCACTCCGCCAGCCTTTCTCTTCCCACGCTGCTTGAAATTTTGCCGTGATGGACTTTCCCTCATCACTTCCCTCCCAGGAGCAGCCCACCACTGCCAAGCAGGCTGACTTATTGCATGCACACCCTCTCACTCCGATCGCAGTCCTCACAGCGTCCCCAGATGGTAGATAAACTCTTCTTCAGCCCACAGTTAATCTTTTTCAAAACTATGCTAATCTTTTCCCTGAAATATTAGGGTTACTCCTTTTGAACAGGGAATATTTCCATGAGGCCCTGTGAAGATTTTGCTGCTTTGTCTTCTGTACGTGGTTGGCCCCATCTCTGCAGGCTTAGCCCCAGGACCCAGCCGTCTGAGGACTCAACCTCGTCAGGGTGGGATTGAGCCTCTACTGAGCATGAACAGCTTATTCCCAGTCATTATTCCAGAGACAATGCAGTTCATCAG